AGTGTCAAGGAGCTGCAAGTGTCTTTGAAGCGCAAGTACCAAGACGAGAAGAGCCGAATGAACATGAAGCTCGTGAATGGCCACATCTGGTACAACCTGCAGGCGTTCCGCGCCCTCAACCAGGCTCTTGGACGTTGTATTCGTCATCGTCAGGACTACGGCGCCATTATGCTGCTGGATTCACGACATCGCTTCAACAAACACACCAAGTCTCTGTCCAAGTGGATGCGCCCGTATATTCAGGAGTTCGAGCACTCGCAGATGTGTGTCCCAATGTTCAGCGATTTCTTCCAACGGAACGAGATGGAGTTGCCTCAAACGATGCCAACACCTTCCGTAGACACGGCGGGATCGGCTACATCGGAGTGGAAGTCGAAGCGAACACCTTTAGTTCTCGAATACGAAACAGACAAAAAGGCCAAAAAGGAGAAGAAAATCACCACTGCACAGGAGAAGCGCATGACGACACCCTCACTGACGTCGACGCTGGCTACGGTAAAGGACTTTATGGCCAAACATAAGCAGGATACGGATCCGCAAGAAAGCGTATTCTCCATTTTCCGCCAGCAAAATCCGAAGAAAACTTCAAAGTAATGTAAAATGTTCTTGTTCACCATTTTACATGTACAGAATTTTAAAAATATCTGTTGGCACTCCACCGAATTTCTGGAATCGCTCTTGGAGATCAAAATCTGGAAGAAATTTACTATAATATCGTCCAGAAGCGCGTTAAGCTCTCGTAAAGACTGATCCAGTGTTGGCACGATGTACGGAGCAGTTTGAATAGATCTTTTGAATCTGCTGATACCTGCTAACTCGTGAACATCGCTTTCTCGCTTCAGGATTCTTGGAAAATCTGTCACTGGGTGATCAATTGTCGGGAAATCTGCCATCTCAATGTATTTCGCCACATGAAGCTGGATATTGAGAACACCCTCTTCGTCTCCATTGCATGCGGAAACCACTTGTCGGCGTGTACGATTGAAAGCTTTTCGATACTCTCAGTGTTTAGTTTTCCCGTAAATGGTGCTGTTAATAAGTCCACAATTGAATTCACGAAAGCTACAGCTCGCGTTGGATGATGCTCCATTATGACGACCAAAACGTGGGATTTTTGCCCAGAATCATCTCCAAATCTCCAGCAAGTCGATGACTTGCTGGTTCGATGGTATTTCCATAATATCAACCCCTCGCTGCGTCCCCACTACCAGGTAAAGCAAACGTAGCAAAACGTCCACTTGCTCGTTTACTGGCCGATCATTAAAAAAAAAACTATGTGAAAAAAGGTGATTGTGTTGAAGAAAACACTTCTAGAGTGATGGTCGTTGATTCGCCAAAATGTAGTCATTTGAACACGGTTGGATCTTTTGGAGGCGTCCTGTGGCCATGGAGTCATTGCCATCTTCCCCGGCATCAACAGTGCCGTCGGTGCTGGAGAGCAATGAGGTTGAGGAACGACAGAGCAGAAATGACGGCAACTCCAACGCGAGCTACGGTGAGGAACAATTTGAGTCCGAGAGCGAGCACCCAGCGTCTGATAGCCTAAACTCCAGCAGTAGTGGAAATTACGCATCAGATGAGTTTGAGGTCGACGAACACGATCAAGAAGCTGTTGGTACAATTGAACGAAAAGCACTGGGAGGTGGCGTGGACGACGACCAAGTGTATTCCGAAGACAACGAATATGCAGATGAATCTTTTGAGGACGAACGAGAAGATGTCACCGGATTTGATAATCAAACTGAAACACACGACGTTGAACGGCAGCAGGATGCCAAAAACCAGGAACTCGATATTGATGAGGTGGTACAGCTGATGCCAACCGTGGGTCAGGATCTCGACCCACACGTTGGAACTTGGTGCTCGAAGAAGATTCGAGAGCTGCGAGTTGCGTCTTCCCAGTCTGAGACTAGACGATCTCGCCGACGCAATACTAGAAGCAACGTGGACAGGATTCCCACTGCTGTAGTAGAGAATTTAATTCATCGAGCGAATAATGCACGGCCTTCTGGTCGGGCTCATGAGAAACCAGGCAATTCTTGGCTGCGTTATCACCAGCAGCTCAAGGTGCCGGCCTCGTTAATGCAACGTGTTCAGACGCGATTGTGGATGGCAAAGACATCGTACACAGAGTCCACCAAGGAATCTACGCCCGAATCTCTTTCGACGTCATTACGATCGGTTGCTGCAACATTTTGCTCTGTGAAGCGCGACGATCTGCTCGGACAGTTAGCCACGATGAAATTGTCCAAAAGTGCGGAAAAGTGGG